TACAATCGAAATGTTTGTTACCTTGGCATTGATGCTCCGCTTCTTGTCATCCTGAGACAAACAGGGGCACAGCTCGTCGAGCACGCAAGCAGTGGCCAGCAGCAGAACTGAAAAGAGCGCATCGCCTTGCCCACAACGGTCAACAGCTCTTGTGATCCGCTACGAATGTATGCCCCCAAAATAGCTCGCCGCAGCTTCCGGGATGATCCTAGCAGGCCTTCACCTCCCAACTGCTCAGCTCCCAAAATGGTCCAATCCAAAGTCTCCTCGGTATAGCCTTTTTCTCATTGCGGCCAACACCCCAGCACTTGAAGATTTCACGAAGACCGAGCTGGGTGTCCGACGGCTCCATGGCCGCCATCACCTTGAAAAGCTGTCGAAGTTGTCGACGTAGAGGCTGAAGAAATCACGAGCGCCGGAGATGGGAAGCAAGGGAGCCCACACAGACCACCCTTTTGGCGGGAACTCCTGCCAAAGTCCCAGCGTTCTCCAAGGCAGACTGGACGAAGTCCACGACCTTACACCACCCCGTTGGCGCTGTCGAACCCGTGGCCAAGCCCGGGATTTCGTGGATAGCGATCTGCTCCCACAACGGTGCATATCCCATCCAAGTGCACTGGAGGCCGGGTCTGCAACCTATTCATCGGAATCAGGTTGATAATGAGCCTGAGGGTCTGCAGCTGGCCACGATTTATGAACTCCGAACACGCTGTTCGTTACGTTACGGCGGTTCACTTCCGCGGTTTCAGACATGACTTCCCTTTCCATCACGCTGGAGTTCAAGAGGTTCGAGATGATTGCGCCATACTCTTTCCACCAGGACAGCAGCGCCTTCTGGAACGTCTCCAAGATCCTGATCTGGGACGCGCGGGTTCTCCACGAACTCTTTCAACTTGAGCGCCACCTTCTCGGCAAGATCAATCCGTCCTGCTTCTCCGTGACCCGGAGCGTGAGGGGCAATCGCCCTCCAACTCAGCCTGTACGCGCGCTGCACCTCACGACCAGTGTAAATATCTCCAAGAGACTGACGCACGGATTCCCATGAACCGAAATCCACGGGGAAGTCACTGCCATCGGCATCCTTGACGAACAAGTTGGTGTACTCCCGGAGAGGATGAGGCGTCCATCGACATCACTGCCTGCCGCGGGGGCGTGTCCGCACACCCTTCGAAAAAACCTGACCTGGCGACGCCAGAGCGACCACGCCCAACAAAGAGACCACCATCATCTCCACTCCAAGATTCCGCTACGGGCAGAATCACAATCCCTCTGTACGGCTCGAGGGCTTCAGGCGGCCCAGATCAAGGGCCAAGACGATTGTCTGATTATACAACTCACGGAACTTGCTTGACAGCACTGGGCCCCTCATCGTGAGGTGGCTCACAGCGACTCAGCCACAACATCAGGAGAGCCCCACAGGTTCTCGACCAGGAGCTCCATCACCGAGAAGGAAACGTGCTTTTGCGTCTCTACATGAGCAAGTGACGAAAAGACAGCTGACACGAGGCTGGTGAGCTTGTGGTCCTTGAGCAGCCCCTTGACCTGACTCGCAATCAAGGGCGTGGACCACCCCCATCGCCCTTTGCCGCCGCGCTGGCGCCTTCGTTCGCCACTCTCGGTTCGGGCCCCCATCGCAGTTGTCTCCGTGGCCCTGTCTGGAGATTGACCTCACTGCCGAATCGGACTTGCCTCAATTTTTTGGGCCTGCACCCAATTCCTTTAGGACTGTTGCAAACGATGAGGTGTGTGGTTGTTGCCAGGTTCACGAGCTCCCTGTGGTCGCATGCCCCGTGGCTGCTGGAGCCCCTGGCTGCTGGGAGTCTGGCACTTTCCTGGCGTGAAAGGCCAGCCTTGGAGTTAGAAGGTGGCAAGGAGAAGAAGGAGAAGAAAAGGTCATGGACGAATCTAATGGAGAAGCTCAGGAGGTTGCGCCACAGGCACCCCGGGCAATTGGCAGCGCGGACCTGAGGCAGGGGTCCGGAGCACCAGCCGCCTGCCCAAGCTCGGGCGTGCTCAGGTCAACCAATCTTCGGTAGCTGATATTCTTGTACAAAGTCTCCACTCCACATACGCTCACAGGATGGACGCAGAAGTGGAATGGCACCACTCGTAAACCGCATAGGGGCCAAACGTGCGCTCAACCCACCATTTGTAGTATCTGCCACCTGCCAAGAAAGCCGGCTCCTTCTTCTGCCCCAGCCGACTGCAAGGCACAACACAAGCTGGCCCTGCCAGCGCCCACGGTCATCGTAGGCTGCGGCCTCCACCCGCCTAAGGCCGCTGGGCCGTCCTCCCCATCTTTCGCCACGTGGCAGCGGTCTGAAGGACTTACGGTACCCCACTCAGAGAGTGAGGAGGCAACAGCCTCACGAACTGATCGGCCCCTAGCTAAAGGGGCCGCTTGCTGGTTCACTGACAATATTTTACATCATTACACTCATTGTTGGCTTCAGTACTATCGCAATGTCATCATTACTACCAAGTCTTCACAGATTCCACGAGAAATTGAAACTTAAGTGTGTTTGTGATCCTGGTTATTTCGAAATTGAAGCCAGATTGTCTGATGAACAGCTTGTATCTACGGGAGCCTCCCAAGCAGCCAGGAAACAATCATAGACTGAAGCGCCTGCGCTTGGGTGAGTCAAGCAACCATCATCAGCCAGGTGGAGCACGGTGTGGAAGGCATGGGCAGGCTCAGGTGAGTTGTACAGGCCCACGGTAGCTGCGTAGCAGCAGCAGCAGGAGCCTAGCAGTGCTAGCTTGTAACTTTTGCAGGGGTATTGTGCCATCAGCACATCATTACCTTAAAACTTTCACGCAAGCCGTTGTTCTTTGTACTCTTCACACCGGCTTAAATTAAGTTCACTGGCTTTGAACTGGCTTTGGAAGTCTTTGTAAAAAGTTTTGTTGAAAGCGCTACGGAGTTGGACTTCTTGACACTTTAGGCGGGCGCTAAACTTTTCCTGCGCATGCACACCTCTGCTTTTCCACGCAAAGCTCCCCCACTCACGCTCAAGTCCCCAAGAACAGGGCAGAGAAAGAGCTCTCTGCCCATGCGTCTCAGCGAGCCCGGATCTGCGCGGCCTGCGGAGAACCCAATGCAATGAGGCGAAACCCGCGTAACCTTTGCGGCCTGTCCCTGGACGATCGTCAGACGGTCTACGCAGAAAGGTACGCGTTGGCTGCGCGACGTTTGCGGGAAGAAAACAAGCGCCGCGCTTCTTACTGCCGGGACGTGCGCGCGTCCAGCATCTCCCCCTAGTTGCAGCACCCTACGCCTCCGTCTGCCAGTAAAGCTGCGCTCGAGACAAAGCTCTTACAAGCAACCTCCGCGCTCGAGAGCCATGTTCCGAGCAAGCCTACCGGCGAGGGGACCTCACAAGCGTACAAGGTGCCGCTAGACTGATCAGTGAAGCTTGGGCCCCGTGATGCTCACGCAAGAACCCCCTCTTCCTTATCATCCCGGAGCCACCTTAAAGTTCACGGTACCTCTCAAGTTGGCTCACTCCACTGCCAGCTGAGACAGCCAAGCGGGAGTGCGTTTGGGAACCCAAAGCGCAGCAAAGGAAGCCGCCTTGCCCTGGCAAGGCCATTCCAGCCTGCGCCAACCCAGCTCTGAAAGAGAAGTTGCCTCAGTGGAAGAGCCAGGGAGCCATGCGCCGGGCGGCCTTGTCGAACTTACCTCAGCGCGCGCCGACAGCGTGTTATCTTCAAAAAGCACAACGGAAGCTGCTGCCGAGGATCCTATAAAAGATCTAAGAAAATCGTTGTTGATTCGATCCCCCAGCAATTTCAGCTAGAGTCAGAGGGCGTACGGCCCTGAAAAGACACCTCCGCGCCGGACGCCCGGTTGCACCCCCAGATGAAACCACGCCGTCTGCCAAAGCGTCAGAAGGCGCAACCGAGGAAGAGCAAGATAAGGATGGCGTCACGCGCCGCCCGTCATTCATTGACCAGCCAGTCGATGAGGCAGACGGCTCAGAACAGCGCCGATCTGGAAGTTTTCCAGAGTACATACAACCGCATCGCCGGAAGATAGCAACCTCTGTCTCCGAGCATGCCTGGAAGCATGCCTGGAAGCATGCCTTCGGACTTCAAGAAGAGAAATGTTTTTGAATGTAAGTAAAGGAAAGATAGCTTACGATACCTCTTTCGCGAAATCCAAGTTCCTTTCGCGAGCACCATCGC